GTCTGTTCGTGTGCTCAACAAAAAGCATAGACTCCATTATATGCACCGGTATTTTGCATCCGGAATATAAAAATGTAAAATAAACTAAAATGTTGTGCAAAATGTGAGTTTGCGAGAGAAATATTGCATACATTTTCAATGATGATTGAGAAATGTTTTATGCATTTATAATATGTATATTGAGATTGAAAATTCTCGTCAATTTTTTTTCCGTTGTGTGCATTAATTCAGTCATGAAATAGAGTATTGAAAATAATTTGCATAATTCAATAAATTTTATTTTGTATTTTATGTCCTATACTATAATAACATAGATTTTTATATTTAAATTATTTCATAATTTAAAAATATTGAAATTTTGGGAGTGGGAGAGAGAGAGAGAGAGAGAGGCGATTTAATTAGTAAATTATATTATTAGGGTTTATAATTAAAAACCAAGTTTACAAAAATGTCTAATTCTAATGTCATTATCAGATTAACCAAGACTTTAATATTAGTATTTTAGACCAGTTTTCTCTCTCAAAAGTTAAACAAAATCTTTTCAAAAAGCCTTTTATTTTCCACTCAAAGAATCTTATTTCCAATACTTTTAAGAATTAAATTATTTTCTTTTTATACCAAAAATGTGTTGAAAGAGAGCAAAAACTTTTTTTCTGTGTCAACACAACAGATCACGACATAAAGCTATTAAATGATTGTTACAGACAATGAAAACTACAAAATAAAATCCCACTTTTTAATACATCAATAGCTATATTGAGCTAAAAATAATATTAAACAAAAATCACAGTTGACATTATATAACCCATGTTCAGTTTGTCATCTCATACACACCGCACACAAAATAAAACGCTCAATCTGTATTTTTATCAATTTATAACTACTCTCTCTCTCTCTCTCTCTCTCTCTCCCAAAATTTCAATATTTTTAAATTATGAAATAATTTAAATATAAAAATCTATGTTATTATAGTATAGGAAAAGGTGAAATAACCCATAAATTTGCTATTTTATGCATCAAAAGATTTCATCAATAAGTGAGTGTCATATTGCATGCTCTCTCTCTCTCTCTAACGTTAACTCAATCACTCATTCGCCTATCTTTTAGTGATGTTTCTGTTATTTCGTTTATAAAACAAATCAGATATTATTTTTTCTCCACATTTCTCGCAATTCTTTCAGTGTTTTATTTTTGTGCAGATTTTTCCAATTCTTTAGATATTATTAAAAGTAATATTTCATTGCATTTCAGGCTTTTTTATGCATACATTTTCAAGATTAATAGGAAATTGCATTTTTAGGTCTTTATTTCCCAATCTCTCTCTCTCTCTCTCTCTCTCTCTCGCAATGATTATTCAATAATTTCCGGAAAATACTATTATTTTTATTAGAATTTGAGTCTCACTTCACTGCAAACGCGTTAATGAATTCATATAACAGTTTTTGAAGAGAAACAAAACAATTATAAAAATATTTTTATAATAATTGTGTGGAAATAAAACATTTCAATTCATTAGTCGGTAATGGAAATGCATATTGTAATTGAAAAATGATTTCTAATTCAAATAATTTGTGTCAAATTACTATATATTTTTGTGATAAATACACATATAATTACTGCATATATAAATCTCGGCTGTGTTTCTGAAATATATTAATATCAGCGATAAATCACAGAATATATTAAACAATTTATTTATACATAAAATTTCTTTAAATAATAAATCAACAAAACTTTAAGACGAAATTCTTATATAAATAAATAAAGCAAAACACTTTTATTATTAATAAATGTTTGAATATAGCATTAAATATATTCTGTAGGAATATTCTGCCAGAATATTCATAATAAACGTCAGATTAAGGGAGAAAATTGCTTATAATTTAAATGTATAATTAAAATATTCTTACAGAAAACTAGACTATAAAAACAAAACACATTATATTATTATTTGTATCCATTGACTAAAGCTATAAACATAGAACCTATGGATAATGTGTTTCTTAAATGACTTCAAACAAAGGGTTTATTTATTTTTATTAAATAAATATTCAGCAGAAATATCAAAATATTCGCACAATTTTCGCAAGCAATATATACAATGATATAATGAACCGCTTTTGAAGTTAACAAACAAAACATTGTGTTTTCAATAGGCTTTTGGTTCCGGAATTGCTATTAAATTCAATGCAAAAATTGTTATTTTTCGGCACATATTATGGGAACAGCTATTCATTAGAAAAATGTTAAATTAGTTATACTTATAGCGCATTGAAGTGTGAAAAATGTGACAAAACAATGGCTTAAGATTTTAATGCCTTTGTTATCCATCATATGAGCCATTAGTTTATGTTTTTAATTAAAAACATATTTGCATATCTTTGGACTGAAAAGCAGTTTAAATATTACTATAAAATAATAAATAAAATAAATCACATAAAAATTCAAACCAATGAATGTTTGAATGATTTTGTATTTGCTTTTTGAATTGCCTTTCGTTTACTCGTGTATTGAATGAATAAATGATATATTGTTTTCATCTCAATCTTTATCTCTCAATAAATAAAAAGCTTTGAAAATATAACGAGAAAAATATTTTTACAAACATTTCTGCAAATAATACATATTTTGAAGAGAGAGAGAGAGAGAGAGAGAGAGATTGGAAAATAAAGACCTAAAAATGCAATTTCCTATTAATCTTGAAAATGTGTGCATAAAAAAGCCTGAAATGCAATGAAATATTACTTTTAATAATATCTAAAGAATTGGAAAAATCTGCACAAAAATAAAACACTAAAAGAATTGCGAGAAATGTGGAGAAAAAAATAATATCTGATTTGTTTTATAAACGAAATAACAGAAACATCACTAAAAGATAGGCGAATGAGTGATTGAGTTAACGTTAGAGAGAGAGAGAGAGAGAGAGAGAGATTTACTTATTTTTATGATATTTTATATATATTAAGTGATTTCATAATAGATTCGCAACAAAAACACAAGTTGTGATCAAAATATATCTATCAATACATATGTCACGAGAAAGAGGGTTATGAAGAGAGAGAGAGAGAGAGAGAGAGAGAGAGAGAGCGTATGTTTATTATAGTGAAGTGAAAGTGCTTTTAAGCGTTTACTTTATGTTATATAAGAAAAACTGCACATAAAAACATTTTATCCAATAATATATATATAATGTAAATATTTTTGGATAAAAAATCTGAGGAAATTTGAAGAAGAAGTACAGAAAAAATATTTTTTGTGTGTTTTTGTTGCGAATCTATTATAAAATCACTTAATATATAAAATATCATAAAAATAAGTAAATCTCTCTCTGTTTTCGATGTTTGACATTAAATTGAAATTTCTATTTATATCATAAATATTAAGGTTAAGTCATATTGAATGTAATTTTTATTTATCACATTTGCCCTCTTATAAATGCTCTCTCTCTCTCTCTCTCTCTCTCTCTCATTTTCTTCATAACCCTCTTTCTCGTGACATATGTATTGATAGATATATTTTGATCACAACTTTCTCACTGAAAACCAATACATTTCTATAGGAATCGATTTGTGTGAAAGAAGTGCACAAAGAGAGCGCCGCATATCGTGACGGACGGCTCCGGGCGGGCGACCTAATACTGGCGGTCAACGATCGGTCATTGCGTGACATATCATTCAACGACGCCGTCCAAGTGCTCCGGGAGGCGGCCACTCCTCTACGGCTGCTTATACTTAGGGAAAACGCTCAGAAACTATTCACTACACATCAATGTAGGTATGATTTTGAATATACAACATCAACACACATATACTGTACATACACTAAACACATGCACCTCTTGTATAGTAAACATATTGATATAATTCCTCTATTCATACAGAATTGTAAAGAATATTCTGTGTTATTATAGTTAATACTTGGCCTGAAAATGGTATCATATTTATCGATATATATTGGGTTATATTTGTAGTAAATATACTGTAGATGTTTTATATATAAAATCTCTGTTGAGATGATCGCTAAAGAACTCATCATTTTATATAATATAACATATTATGATTTATATATGACTTATTTCCAAGAAATGAAACGAAAGGCAGTGGGAGTACAGGCGCTCGCAAAGCGAGTCAAAATCAAATTGGTCGTTTCATTAGTTTCTACATTGCATTTGTTACGTGATATTTGTGCAGTAATTTTGTATTTGATATTATGGCGATTTAATTATAAATTATATATATAATGTCTAATTACTTGATATTTATATGTGCTTTAGTTGTTTTTATTTATGCAAATATTAGTGCTGTTATTATACTCCCCGTATATTTTATACTCAATTGCCTGCCTATGGCTGAGATTTATTGCGAAAAGGCTTTATGTTTACTTCACTGTCATCTCTGGCTCTTAAGCTCTCAAATTGACTTTTTTAAGATGCATATTCTCTCTCTCGCTCTCTCTCTCTCTCTCTCTCTCACTCCCAAAATTTCAATATTTTTAAATTATGAAATAATTTAAATATAAAAATCTATGTTATTATAGTATAGGACATAAAATACAAAATAAAATTTATTGAATTATGCAAATTATTTTCAATACTCTATTTCATGACTGAATTAATGCNAACTAAAATGTTGTGCAAAATGTGAGTTTGCGAGAGAAATATTGCATACATTTTCAATGATGATTGAGAAATGTTTTATGCATTTATAATATGTATATTGAGATTGAAAATTCTCGTCAATTTTTTTCCGTTGTGTGCATTAATTCAGTCATGAAATAGAGTATTGAAAATAATTTGCATAATTCAATAAATTTTATTTTCTATTTTATGTCCTATACTATAATAACATAGATTTTTATATTTAAATTATTTTATAATTTAAAAATATTGAAATTTTGGGAGTGGGAGAGAGAGAGAGAGAGAGAGAGAGAGGCGATTTAATTAGCAAATTATATTATTAGTGTTTATAATTAAAACCCAAGTTTACAAAAATGTCAATTTAATGCCTGTAATTGTAATGTCATTATCAGATTAACCAAGACTTTAATATTAGTATTTTAGGCCACTTTCTCTCTCAAAAGTTAAACAAAATCTTTTCAAAAAGCCTTTTATTTTCCACTCAAAGAATTTTATTTCCAATACTTTTAAGAATTAAATTATTTTCTTTTTATACCAAAAATGTGTTGAAAAAGAGAAAAAACTTTTTTTCTGTGTCAACACAACAGATCACGACATAAAGCTATTAAATGATTGTTACAGACAATGAAAACTACAAAATAAAATCCCATTTTTAATACATCAATAGCTTTATATTGAGCTAAAAATAATATTAAACAAAAATCACAGTTGACATTAGATAACCCATGTTCAGTTTGTCATCTCATACACACCGCACACAAAATAAAACGCTCAATCTGTATTTTTATCAATTTATAACTACTCTCCCTCTCTCTCTCTCTCTCTCTTTATCTCTCTCTCTCTCTCATCCAAACACTCAGTGAAAACTTGAAATCTCAGCCATAGGCAGGCAATTGAGTATAAAATATACGGGGAGTATAATAACAGCACTAATATTTGCATAAATAAAAACAACTAAAGCACATATAAATATCAAGTAATTAGACATTATATATATATAATTTATAATTAAATCGCCATAATATCAAATACAAAATTACTGCACAAATATCACGTAACAAATGCAATGTAGAAACTAATGAAACGACCAATTTGATTTTGATTCGCTTTGCGAGCGCCTGTACTCCCACTGCCTTTCGTTTCATTTCTTGGAAATAAGTCATATATAAATCATATATAAAATGATGAGTTCTTTAGCGATCAACTCAACAGAGATTTTATATATAAAATATCTATATTTACTACAAATATAACCCAATATATATCGATAAATATGATACCATTTTCAGGCCAAGTATTAACTATAATAACACAGAATATTCTTTACAATTCTGTATGAATAGAGGGATTATATCAATATGTTTACTATACAAGAGGTGCATGTGTTTAATGTATGTAGTGTTCAGTATATGTGTGTTGATGTTGTATATTCAAAATCATACCTACATTGATGTGTAGTGAATAGTTTCTGAGCGTTTTCCCTAAGTATAAGCAGCCGTAGAGGAGTGGCCGCCTCCCGGAGCACTTGGACGGCGTCGTTGAATGATATGTCACGCAATGACCGATCGTTGACCGCCAGTATTAGGTCGCCCGCCCGGAGCCGTCC